ACTAGGGCTCAGATCCCACTTGAGGATTCTCTTGATGTTCTCCTGAAGCAATGTCATCAAAGGAATTCAAGCATTCAAAGACCAGTTGGACAAGATAACCCTCCAGGACCTTTCTGACTGAGCTGCTCTGATCGGAAGACCTCCTCCGCCTCTGCGCCCTGCACACCTGGAGGCAGGTGGGGAGTCCTCTGCTGGCCCCAAGAAAGCTAACGAGGAAGACGTGGCACCCACAGTCCCCCCATTCAGGGTCACTCACTCCCTGTCTCTGTTATCATACGAATCTATCAGTTTGAGGGCAGACTACACACCTCCGTCGAAATAAGAGATGAGAATTATGGCAGCAAGTCACTGATTTGCTTCCTCTGTGACAATGCGGGCGATGCAGATTAAAAGTAAGACTTGCCCTCTGTGCCAGCCTCAGATAATTGAGGGCCCCCTGAATTCAAATGCCAAGACCCACTGACGCTGGCTTTGCGTCTTCACAATTGACATTGTGCATTCTACTACACGCTGGGAGGTAAGCAAGAGAACAGTATCCAGCCTCTGAATCCCAGGTACTTATCACCCCAGTCCAGAGAGAGGGGACATTTTTAACTATGCTCAATTGCCCAAGAATATCTAAAAATTTAAAACAGTAATTTAAATGTCCCAGACACAGAGAATCACATTCTTCTCTTCTTCTCACCCACTGCTTTCGGGTCTCCCTACGGCCGTGATATCAGATACACAGCAGGCTGCTAAATCTTGACGTTACTATTGCCATTAGTTCAATTCAATCAAGAAAAGCTTGCTGAGTGTCAGCTATGTGCTAGGTGCTCTGGTAGGTTCTTCACATATCTTATTTAATGTGATCTGACAACAACCCAATAAACGAGATAATGAAGCTCAGAAAATTTGAATTATCTACCAGAGGACGCAAAGCTAGCGCTCTGTCCAGCTCCAACCCTGATTCTTGCAGCTGTCCGCATCGACCAATCACCATCATCTTCTGAGTGTGTGAAGACGAGCTTTGTTCCACCAAGACAGCGAATCCAAGATTTTCACCACCCCTGCTTTCAAACGTGTTGACAAAGGTTCCAATATTTTGGAAGAGTTTTGTTGCTTGGCTGAATTTCTGTAGAAATAACATTTCCCCACTTATTGAAAGATGTTTAAAACTCTGTACCTGGGCTTTTGCTCAGCATGAAACAATCAGATTTACCACAGAATCCATAATAATTCCGGCATAAGCGGTTGACATTTTACCAAGTTATAGCTTTTCTGGAACATTGAAAATAGCTCTAAGTTCTCCATAATTCAGGTCTTACCTTCCAGAGATCTCTAAGGGAGCCATTTAAGACAATCAATGTGCACTTAAGAGGGAGATTCTATTCTGAGGATATCAAATAAGCCAGTGTTAACCCCCTCTGCTATTGCCCCATTTCTCCCAGTCCATTCCATGTTAACCCAGCAAGGAGGAAGCTGAAAGGGAGGGAGGATGGGAGAAGGAAAGCAGGAGAGCACAGAGTGCCTTTAATTCAACAGGTCCCAGAGCAAAAAGAAGGAAGAGGTTCTGGCATCAGCAACAGGCTTCTTGATGTTTGACAATGCTGCCACCTTCTGGCATAAATTGGAAATTCACAAGAAGATATTGCCAGTCACTGTCATTCAATACATAAACCACAAAGATGCGATCCTACATAGCAATGACGTTTAAAAAACAACAAAAAAATTACTCCCTAGGTATTCCTGGGATCTATTTAAACTATAATTCAGTACATTCACTTTTTAAGCTCCTACCTTTTAAAATATACCTTCTAGTGCCTGGACAGTTAGAGAAAGTTCTTTGATGTTCTCCCTACTTCCATGCATGCCTCCCTTCCAATCCATTCCCTAACTCATTAGCCAGAGTGTACAATGGCTGTTAAATTTACTTGCAACAAATTTGTTACTGGCCCATGAGAGATACCAAACTGGCAGCCTGAAAGCCTCATTGGCATCAGCATAGATTCTGTGTATGTGTCCAGAGCAGTGTTTTAAATGGTTTTGTGGGGGGCACTCCCCACCTCCTCAGTCTGCCAACCTCCCCCCCATGCTCAGTACAGACATGCACACTCCTTCACACCCCTGAAGTCAGGAAAACTCATTTGGAGATTACGTCCACCCAGTACCTCAGAATGTAACCTTATTTGGAAATAGAGTCTTTGCAGATGTAATTAGTTAGGTTAAGATGAAGTCATACTGGATTAGAGTGGACCGTAAATCCACTATGACTGATGTCCTTATAAGAACAGACACAGAGACAAAGACACACAAGGAAATAGCCCACTTTAAGACACAGGCAGATATCAGAGTGATGCATCTGCAAGCCAAGCAAAGTCAAAAATTGCCAGCAACGCCAGAAGCCAGAAGAGGCAGAGAATGATTCTCCCTAGAGCCTTCAGGGGGAGCATGTCCCTCCTGATACCTTGGAATGCACTTAAGGAGAGAGAGTTGGCCAAAAGAATATACAAGGACCATCAATTAAAAGGACTTTGGTGACTTAGAACTGAAGGAAGTTCCCAAGGAGTTGTAAGGGCCAAACAAGATTGGGAGTTCAGCTAAAAGTGACAAACATAATCACAGAATATGAGAGCCTTAGAAATAAATAGAAATCACTTAGTCCAAAAAAAAAATCTTCATTTTACAAAAGAGGAAGCCAAATCACAAGTAAAATAACTCACCCATATCCCTTACCTCTGCTGAATCTTTGACCTCTCCCTCTCTGCTGATGCTTCTGGTTGGTTCTCAGTCCTGCTCAAATGGAAAGAAGTTCTCACCCAACTCTCCAACCCCCTCTAGGTACCTACTGCCTTATAACCATCTTCTTTTCCCCACCAACAGGCAGGGAACTTTTCAAGACGCCCATCCTTGCCGTCTCCACGACTTCACCTCCCACTGTTACTCAACCCACACCAGTGAGACTTCAGGGCCCATCACTCCGCACAGTTACACTTACTGACCCCCCTAAATGACATCCATGTCACTAGACCTAAAACACATGTTTTATTTTTTTTAATTTCTCAGCAGCATTCAAATCTTTGGGCCATTTTCTCCTTCTTGAAAAACACTTCCTAAAATGTAAATGATTCAACACCCTCCTTGTTTTTCCTCCTTCCTCTAGCCATCTGCATTAGTTTTCTATTGTTGTTTAACAAATTACCAGCTTAAAACAACATTTATTTATTATCTCACAGTCTGTAGATCAGAATTCTAGCATTCTCTTTGGGTCTCACATGGCCAAAGTCAAGGTTCGGGAGACTCTGGGAAGAATTTGCTTCCAAGCCCATTCAGGTTGTTGGCAGAATTCAGTTCCTTGCAGCTGTAGGACTGAAGTCAGGGTTTCCTCGCTGGATCTCTGCTGGGGCCTCATTCTCAGCTCCCTAAGGCTGCCCATCTTCCTTCTCACGTGGCCCCCTCCATCTTCAAAGCTAGTGACAATACACGGAATCTTTGCCATGCTTGGAGTTTCTCTGAATTCTTCTGCCATCAGCTGAAGGAAATTCTCTGTTTTAAGGATTTCTTTGATTAGGTTGGACCCATCAGGATACGTTCATCTTTTAAGATCAACTGTGCTGTATAAAATAATGGAATCACATGAGTGAAGTCACGTCCACAGGTTCCAGGGATTAGGACATGGAATCTTGGGGACCATTCCTAAAAATTCTGCCTACTACACCATCCGATTTTCATTTCCTTCCCCGGATCAGTCTCCTCCAACCACCTTTAAATGTTGGGGAACCTCACGCTCAGTCTTAGGTATACTTCTCTTCTTCCATGTACCACCTCCAAAGTCAATCTTCCTTATCTAACCCCATGCCTTCAGTTACCATCTCCAGGGCAATAACTTCCAAATTTACATCATGAACCCAGCTTCTCTTCTCAACTCCACACCATTATTTCAAACCATGTATTCAACACCTTCGCTTGGAGATCTCACAGACTTTGCCAATTCAGTGTGCCCAGAGCTAATGGAAGATCCTCCCCGCGCAAGCCTGGTTTTCAGCCTTTGCTCCTCAAAGCATAGCACCACCAGAACCCGGCTGCATAAGCCAGAAACTTAAACCTGATTTGGTCATTCTTGACCCAACCTCGCTCTACATTACTCTAAATACTCATTCCATCACAAAATTTTTGTTTGTTTGTTTGTTTGTTTGTTTGTTGAGGAAGATTGGCCCTGAGCTAACATCTATTACCAATCTTCCTCTTTTTGCTTGAGGAAAATTGTCCCTGAGCTTACATCCATGCCAATCTTCCTCTATTTTTTGTATGTGGGATGCCACCACAGCATGGCTTGATGAGCTGTGTGTAGGTCCACACCTGGGATCCGAACCCGCAAACCCCGGACCGTGAAGCAGAGTGTGCAAACTTAACCACTGTGCCACTAGGCCAGCTCCATCCATCACCAAATTTTTAAGGAGGCAAAAGATTTCAATAGAAATTTATACAAAGAATATATATGAATGACCAATAAGAACCTGCAAAGATGCTTAAAATCATAAGCCATCAGGGAAATGCAAATCAAAACCACAATCAGATGCCAATTCATACACAGCAGGATAGCTATACACACACAAAAAAAAAACAGCTATAACAAGTCTTCTCAAGGATGTGGAGAAAAAATACACACACATACACTCACATATCTATATCTATATCCATATCTATATATAAATAAACACAGATTTTGGGGGGTAATTTTTTATTTGGAACAACTTTAGGCTTACAAAATGTTTCAGGAATAAAAAAGAACTTTCGTATATCCTACACCCATATTCCCCAATTATTCACACTTTACCACATTTCCTTGGTCACATATCTGTCTTTCTGTCATCAATCCACCTTATTTTTTGACGCATTTTGAAATGAGTTACTGATATCAGTACACTTCACCCCAAACAATTCAGAATGCATATTATTAACTAGAGTTCAATATTTGTTTACATTGTTTTGAAGTAAAATTTACATACAGTGAAATGCCCCATTCTTCAGCACACTGTTTGATGAGTTTTGACAAATACATAAATCTTTATCAAGATATAGATATTTCCATCACCCCAGAACGTTCCCTCAAGTCTCTGTCGATCCCTGTCTCTATCCCATCCAGAAAGGCAGAGAGGTGTGGCCCTAGGTCCCCTGAGCCCACTGAGGACACTCACAGCATAGACTTGGGTGGGTCCAGGCCTCTCTGGACTGACTGCCCATCAGGGAAGACTCAGGCATCAGCCAGCTGCTGCAGCATCGAGAGGATCCCATACAGAGCAGACAGAGGCTTCTTGGCTTCCAGATCCCAAGTTGACCTGGGGCTATTCAGCTCCATCTGCAGGCCACACTCCTCCAGCAGGCCATAAGTGATAGCCAAACTCTCACCCTGGAGTGGGGCGAGGAGCTCAGGCTTGAGCGTAAAGGGAATATTCCAGGGGTAGCTGAAGTTGGGCTCCAGGATGCTCCTCACCTAGAAGAAACAGTGTCAGATGTTACAGGTCAGCCTTTGAGATCAGGAAGAGAAAACCATCTGTCCCAAGAGTCAGGGGTCATGCAGGGTAACTGAAGGGGGCAAGAGCTTTGGCATCAAGGGGACCGGGAGACATGGTCCTGGTCATGTCCTGTGATCAGTGTCATTGTGGACACATTATCGGAAATCATTGCACAGTGGTTCCTCAGCTGCTAAATGGTGATACGAACATTTACCTTGCAGAATAGAGGTGTGGGGATTTAGATATGTGTATGACCGTGTGTGCAATGTGTGTACGTCTATGTATATGTCTATATGCACATATGTACTTATATATACATCTATGGAGAGAGAGAGAGAGAGCAATACACAAATGATGACTGTGTAAGTAAAGCAAGGCTGTTACTCAGCTCCCCTGAGCTCCCAAACATGTGTTCCTATGTGGCTATTCTAAAACTGTGGCGCCCTCTGCAGGGGTTGCCATGGAAACTGTGACCCTCCTGAGACAGCCTCATACCCGCTGGGCATGTTCTCCAGAGAGAGATGCAGCCCCAGTGGCCACACAGGGAGCCGGGCTCCCCTCCCAGCAGAAACTTGTGTCATCTCTCTTTTCTGATTCATTCTTATCTCCCGTTCCTTCACCCTGTTCCCTGGATGCTGAGCCGTGGGGATTTCTCACCAGCTCCCGCTGATGGAACAGGATCCTATTCTCCTTGGACTGGGCCAGCAGATCATGTTGGATGTCACTCAGCACTGGGGACAGGAAGACATTTGGGGAAAGAGAGTGATGAAGAGTCAGATTTTCTTCCCCACTGTGAACTAGGTGACCCCGTGAGAGGGGAATTCTGAAGCAGAGGGATAAAACCCATGAGACTTGAAGGTCAAGTTCCCTGCCCTGGGAAGTCCTCCTTCTGCTCTTGGGATGGTCTCCAAGATGCATGGTCCAGAGGATGGGATTCTGCGGGTGGAGCCTGGAATTGTTCATCCCTCGATGATATATTGAGTGAACTTGAGCCAGTCTTGCTAGGCCTCAGGCTCTGTGAGACATGGAGACTTTATCGCGCTGAGCCTTTGGAGACAGGTGTGATGTGAGGATGAAAAATCATAATATTTGAGGACTTTGAAGAGGTTCATCTAACTCAGCCCTTTCAGGAACTCGGGGGACCAGCCTTGTGACTCTCCCACTCTTCCTCCAAATCAATCTTACTCATTATGGCTTCAAGCAGGTAAAGGATGAGGTACTTTGGGTTAAGCCACAGATATCTTGAGTCCTTTTGCAGTTCATTTAGGATGGTGCCACCAGGGCCATTCAAATGACCCAAGGGTTCTTGTTCAAGCTATAGGAGATAGGTATTATTGATGAAGATGGTGATGATGCTATTTTGCCTATAAATTCTGTGTCTATAAGTCATTAACCAAGGTGTGGGCATAATGGCTCTCTACCTCACCCAAGGGGATTCCAAGTACCTTCTATATGCCCGGGCTATGCTCCCAGGCCCTGATCATTAAGCACAGGGCCAGAGTCCCCAATCTCAGACGTCCTTCTCATTCCACTGTGATTGCCCCCATTCCTCCACCCTCATGTATCTTGGTAGCCATATCTCCTAAACATTCCCCCTTTACAACTTTGATCAGCCTTAGGCAGCTGTGAAACCCCCTCACCATGTCCATGAGGTCCTGCAGGGCCCCTCGGTCCCCGAGCATGGCCAGGATATTATGGAATATAGCATCCTGAACATCCTTTGGGAGCTGGGCCAGTGCCTCCATTTTCCAGGAAACCTCTTCTTGTAGGTGCTTGAAATCTGCCCTCAGATATCAATGTCAACCAGAAAATGGGGACAATTCTTAGATTAGAACAATCCTGGGATGATAAGCCCTTCCCCATCAACATGAGCCAGGCATCTCTATCCCTTTATCTACCAACCAAAAGCATTTCTGTGGGTGGCATGTTTGAGCTCTGGGGAGGGAGCTGTCATAATAGGCTAGAAAGATGGGCAATCCCAGTGCTCTGAGATGAGGGGGCAGAATGCAGAGAGGAGAGATGGAGATTCTGGAAAGTGGTCCTGGGAGTGGAAGAGAATGAGCAGGTGTTAATTCTTGGACATGTCTGGAATAATGTGGATTCCAGCCTTGGGCTCTAGAAGTGACAATGTTAAGTGTTCTGGGCTCAGATTCCACATCCTTTAGGTAGAGATGGCATGAGGATTAAATGAATTTCTGTATGTGAAGTCCTTGGGGTGGTACCTGCACACATGACTACCCTTCTTATCATGTCATTCTGCCTGTATTGTCTATGTCCTACAGAATTGACCAAGGAGTGCGTGTTGGGGGCTCTCTGCTTTTCCCAGGAGACTCCAGGTGGCCTGAAGGAGACCTGCTGAGAGGGAGAGGTCACCAGATTGGAGACTCCAGTGAGGCGGCATTTCCGTTTGGTTGACCACTGTGTCCCCAGTGCACAGAAGAATGCCTTTGCCCAGTGAGTCCTCAATAAGTGTTTGTTGCATGCATGCAGGAATGAACGAATGAATGAATGAAGAAGTGGGGCTATAAACTTGGGAGTAGAGTGCAGTTATTCAAGTTGCATGGAAACCTCTCATTTGGGTTCTCAGCCTTGCGGTTTCCAACCCAGAAGCCCCAGTTTCCCTCTTAATAAACACTCACCTTGCCCAAAGCGTTTCTTTATTCTTCCTAGAAAGAGAATCACAAGTGATAATCTCCCTTTCTCATCCCTCATATTTGCTGTAGAGGCACTTTGGAGGGTTCTGCCCTCCTACCACCTCCTGCCTCTTGCTTAACCTCTTCCTGCCCCATCCTGATCCATCCCTCCACCTTCGGCCTTCCTGACCCTTCCCATTCCACAGAAACAAGGGCCGGGCCCTGGGGCAGTGGTGTCCAAGGCCTGGGCAGTCTGCCCTGCTCACCAGATGTGTTCAGGAAGGACCCCATTCCAGCCTCCAGTAAACACACACTCACCTATTGGGAGGATAGAAACTTCCATGTCTAGAAGAAAAATGAAATTCCCGCCCAAGAGTTAGTCTCTGAGGACTCATGGTTTCTCAGACCTTCTGCCCCCTGCTTTCCCAACTCGCTCCTCTCTGTCCACCCCTGCCCGTTGCCCACGGGCCAGATTCCAGGGCCTCAGGGAAAGACAGCAAAGCCAGCACGTGGGGTTGTGGTTGTGCAGAGAGGCCTGAGGGAGGGACATGTGTGGAATAATGTGGATTCCAGCTTTGGGCTCTAGAGATCAGAATGTTAAGTGCTCTGGGCTCAGGTTTCACATCCTTTAGGTGGGGATAGTATGAGGATTAAATGAGTTGGTGTATGTGCAGTCCTTGAGGTGGTACCTGCACACATGACTACCCTTCTTATCATGTCATTCTGCCTGTATCATCTGTGTCTTACAAAATTCACCAAGGAGTGGGTGTTATGGGCTCTCTGCTTCTCCCAGGAGACTCCAAGTGGCCTCAAGGAGATCTGCTGAGAGGGAGAGGTCACCAGAATGGAGGGTCCAGTGAGGTGGCATTTCCATTTCCTTCACTGCTGTGTCCCCAGTGCACAGAATAATGCCTTTGTCCAATGAGTCCTCAGTAAGTGTTTGTTGCATGCATGCACGAATGAACGAATGAATGAATGAAGAAGTGGGGCTGTAAATTTGGGAGTAGAACACAGTTTTCCAAGTTGCATGGAAACCTCCCATTTGGGTTCTCAGCCTTGTGGTTTCCAACCCAGAAGCCCCAATTTCCCTCTTAATAAACTCTCACCTTGCCCAAAGCCTTTCTCGATTCCTCTTAGAAAGAGAACCCCAAGTTGTCATCTCCCTTTCTCATCTCTCATATTTGCTGTAGAGGCACTTTGGAGGGTTCTGCCCTCCTATTGCCTCCTCCTTCTTGTTTAACCTTTTCCAGCCCCATCCCAGTCCATCTCTCCACCTCCTCCCCCTACCCGACCCTTCCCATTCCACAGAAACTAGGGCCAGGCCCTGAGGCAGTGGTGGCAAAGGCCTGGGCAGTCTGCCCTGCTCACCAGATGTGTTCAGGAAGGACCCCATTCCAGCCTCTAGTAAACACACACTCACCTATTGGAAGGATGGAAATTTCCATGTCTAGAAGAGAAATGAAATCCCCGCCCAAGAGTTGGTCTCTGAGGACACATGGTTTCTCAGACCTTCTGCCCCCTACTTCCCTAACCTGCTGCTCTCCATCCACCCCTGCCTGTTGCCCACAGGCCAGATCCCAGGGTTCGGGGAAGGACAGCAAAGGCAGCACCTGGGGTTAAGGTTGTGCAGAGAGGCCTGGGGGAGGGGCATGTGTGGAATAATGTGGATTCCAGCTTTGGGCTCTAGAGATCAGAATGTTAAGTGCTCTGGGCTCAGGTTCCACATCCTTTAGGTGGGGGTGGCATGAGGATTAAATGAGTTTGTGTATGTGAAGTCCTTGAGGTGGTACCTGCACACATGACTACCCTTCTTATCATGTCATTCTGCCTGTATCATCTGTGTCTTACAGAATTCACCAAGGAGTTGGTGTTGGGAGCTCTCCACTTCTCCCAGGAGACTCCAGGTGGCCTGAAGGAAATCTGCTGAGAGGGAGAGGTCACCAGAATGGAGGCTCCAGAGAGGAGGCAGCATTTCCATTTGCTTGACCGCTGTGTCCCCAGTGCACAGAATAATGCCTTTGCCCAATGAGTCCTCAGTAAGTGTTTGTTGCATGCATGCACAAACAAATGAATGAATGAAGAAGTGGGGCTATAGACTTGGGAGTAGAGTGCAGTTTTCCAAGTTGCATGGAAACCTCCCATTTGGGTTCTCAGCCTTGTATTTTCCGACCCAGAAGCCCCAATTTCCCTCTTAATAAACACTCACCTTGCCCAAAGTCTTTCTCTCTTCCTCCTGGAAAGAGGATTACAAGTCATCTTCTCACTCTCTCATCTCCCAAATTTGTTTTGGCGGCGCTTTGGAGGGTTCTATTCTTCTACTGCCTCCTGCCTCTTGCTTAACCTCTTCCTGCCCCATCCTGGTCCATCCCTCCACCTCCTCCACCTTTCCAACCATTCCCATTCCACAGAAACTAGGGCCAGGCCCTGGGGCAGTGGTGGCAAAGGCTGGGGCAGTCTGCCATGCTCACCAGATCTGTGCAGGAAGGATCCCTTCCCTGCTTCTAGCACCCACACTCACTTATTGGGAGGATGGAACCTTCTGATACCAGCTCACAACAAGGTTGACATGAGGGAAGCCATATTGGAGAAAAGAAACCCTATTGTAACTTTGAATGACCTCTGTTAACTAACCCAGACATGCTCTGTAGATTTTATGGCCCCTCCCAGCTGCTATAAGTTGATAACTTGGTTCTCTTAAGTTTCTTAAGAATGTGATAATCCCTGGGCAGAAAGTCTATGCTGATAGCCATCATCAATGACAATTAAAATATCAGGGTGTAGGGCATTGCTCTGGTCTCTGATGCTTATCCAGTAAAACAAAAGACTATCAGGAACTAAGAACAGATGGATACCCCCACCCTGAGACTAGATATCTGCCTCCACCCAGAGATGAGATAGCTGTCCCACCCTGAGACTAGATGTCTCCCTGACCCAGAGACCAGCTCCCCATATAACTGGCCTGTAGTCTTTGTTCTGTAAGATGGTTCTTTCTGACATGAGTCAGCCATCTTCCCTCTTGCTAGTAAGCTGTAATTAAAGGTCCTTTCTCCCCTACCTCCTTGCCTCTTGAATACTGGCATGTCTTGTGTCAGGCAGATGAACCCCCCCTTTGGGTGGTAACAATTTGGTGACCACAAAGGGATCTTAAGTCCTGTTCATAGCCAGTAGACCTCAGACGGGCAACCTGTTGGGTAAGTCCCTAGTGGCTGCCGAGGCTCTCTTTGCCTCAGGGAACTGCCCTTCTTGCTTTCCTGGACAGATGCCAGCTGCCTCCTAATGCTGACTGTGGTAGTAAGAGAAATGGCTACATCTGGTGAGTTGACGGGCTCAATCTGGAATAGCGTAAGTCACCTCAATGGCACTCATGAACTCCCTTCCCCTCCATCTGCAGTCCTTCTATTTACAGCAGGGCCATCTGGGGTCCTTCTACTAATGGCAGGGCCATCTGGGGTCCAATAGGACCATCTGTGCATGCACTCAGAGTGGGAACAGTTGTAGGACTTGATACCCTAAATCTGGGAACTAGTTCACTTGTGTCTGGTTTTTCTGTGTCTGTGTCCACGTCTGTGTCAGTAAATAGCTTAAAATTGGCTCTTTGGGGGCTGAGTTTCTCAGTGATCTTAACAAACTCTCTTTAGAAATTACCTTGTTTGTTAGGGCCACCTTGGGAAAGCCCCCTAAAATGGGGATAACTGTAAACAGCTGGCAGGATAACCAAGGATAATTTAAAATTCCAGTGGCCACTTTTGGCTGCTTTTAAGATTTTGAACTGAGAAACAAAGAAATCTTTAGAGTCAAATGCTCCATCCCTGGGAGGTCATCTCTGGTTTCTGGGCCTGATCACCTCAGTGACCCCAAGTGAGGTGCCCTTTCTTGGCGGTTCTGGTTTCTGCTAATCTGTTTAGGCACCTGCAGTCATTCCAGGTTTTGGCTGCGGTTTCTGGTTTCTGAGCTTCTGAGCTCTACCCCTGGGAGCTCTCCTCTGGTTTGGGGGCACCTGGAGTGATTCCAGTTTGGCCCTGGGTCAGTTATTTGACTGACAATCTGGAACCCTGTTTTGTCTGCTGTCAAGAACCTGTTGAGCATTTTAGTTGCCTACTGAGTCACTTATGGGGACAGGAGACCTGTAATTTATTCTATAAACAGTCCTTCAGGGTTGTGTGCCCAGCACAGGAACTATTGTTTATGTGACACTTATCTTGATAACCCTTGGGAAGAGGCCATGAGGGCAAGGCCTGATCACTTCTGTCTCTTCTTTTCTTGTTCATCACCTCTGTTGTCACCAAGTCGAGGATAAGTTCGGACTGGAACTGAACAGAACCTGGACCTTCTGTAAAATCAAAAATTTGAAAACCTTTTGCCAGGGACTTAACTCTCGACCCCGGCATTGGGATCCCCGGCCTCCAGCCCACTCCAGGCTTTTGCCTCTTGCCTCCCTGGCTTGCTTTGTGCTGGCTCAGGGACTAAGTGCCCAGGCTGAGTCGGACTTGACTAACTCTTATAGCTATATTGACACCCACAGTCAGGTTCTGCACCCTTCTCCAGGCCCACTGTCAGTCAGACACCTGCTTTAGTGCCGTGGGGAATGCCCCAAGCATCCCCAGAGGCTCACCCGTCAGGTGCATTTTAACTAATTGGAAACACTTTAAATTGGACGGATTATGCCCCAGAAACTGCATCTTGGAGAAAACTTGAGTGGTTTCTCTGTGCCTTTGTGATGTAATTGGACAAGTAGATCAACCCTATAATGTCATTTAAGTTACAACCCAATTTCTGAGAAATCAAGAGCAATTGTCCTTAAAAAAAAAATAATCCTTGTAGCACTGGAAAAGCAGGACTAGAGGCAGTTTAGATTCCACCAAGTTCCTTTATCTCAGAAAGAATTATTGCCTCACCTCTCTGGGAAGTGTTATCTAACCCATCACCAATTCCTAGAACTGAAGAAAAAAAGGGAAAAAGGCCAAAAAACGGCCATAAGAGTACCCTCACCAAAAATCTAGCATCTTGAGTGCCTTCTCCAAAACTGTACCTGATTGATGGCAGTAATTTTTTAAAAATAGCTGTGCAGTCTCTATGTATGTGTGTCTATATGTATGTTGTAAATGTGAGATATTTTTTCTACCTCCAGATGGTATGCCCAAAATTAAGAGTTCTATTGAAATTGGCTTAAAGTAAGCACTTACATAAATTCTAAATGTAATAGAAATTAACCCAAATGTCTTTCAAGTTAACATAATATAAAATAATCTTTGGTAAATGAAAGCTGGTTTAAGTTTGTTGGTTTGATTGAAATAGGCATGTCCTCAGAGTTGTCAGTATTTGGATATGATGCCGACATGCAACCTGGGTTTACTAGTGAAATAAGTTTATGTTATTCCTCTTACAAATTTGTCAGTGAAATAATAGCTTCAAATGATGGCTAATTTTGTCTAAAGTCTCATGAAGTTTACATGGGTAGCCTAAACATAATTGTTGGAAACAAATTATTTAGATAGATGAAAATGGGTAAGAGTTTTGGGTACAATAGATACGTTTTATGGTCTGTATACTTAAAAAAAAAACTTCCAAAATCTCTTTGGTACTTGAAATTTGAAGTCTTGCAGGGTTAAATTAAATTAAATTATAAAAACTCATTCAGTATTTAGATCATTTCAAAATGAGATAAGATATAGGACATTGATTGCTAAATATAGGTTTATCTACTTTTGAAAAAAGTGTTTTGGTTCTGTTGGTAAACATGTCTTGTGTTTTATTAAGATGTACTATAAAGTAACATGTTTCCAGAAATTGTGAAAAGTGTTCATAGGTTTGTCTGGCCACAGAATGCTAATGGAAAGGAAAGTTTATAATTTCTTATTCTTAGTTTTTCCTTAAAAATTAAGGTTTCTAAGGGTTAAAATTCTAATATGTGATGAAAGCTACTAAAAATTAAGGAAAACATGTTTGTATTCAAGGAAAGAAGTATGTTTTCAGTAAAGAAGGTATAAAGAATGGAAATATTTTTGTTTGTTTTGTTAAGAAAGATAAAATTGTCCCAAAGAACTAGAATAGAAGAAAGGAAGGCATGGGACAAATTCTGTATGTAAAAAGTAAGTGACAGAAAGTTTGTGAAAGTAAAACCCTGAGGAGTTTTATGGATGGTCAAATTGGCTAAGATTAAACTAAATCCAATTAAGTAAATGAGTTTTAATATAAAAAGTAAGCTGGTGCAAAATTAAAATTTGGTCTTCTTTCTCTTAAAAGGATAATTTTCTTGAACTTTTCATCTGCTCTTGATAAAGAGGTTATAAAAGGTTTTTCTTTACCTTTGAGTAAGTTTACCTAAAAGACAGAAAAACTATGTTTTGTTAAAATAATTTCCTATGTTCAAAAAGACTGAAGTCTCCCTATTAAGATTTTTTGACTATTTTAACTCTCTATTTTCCCTTGATTATTTCTGTTGTCACTTTGATTGAATGGATGACTGAGCATTATTTCACAGTAAGCAAGATATTTTTGACAAGCTTCCCCCCAAAAAATATTCAAATCCTGAATCAAGTCTTTCTTTTCACCTGGAAAAAAAAAATTTCCCTTTGAGAATTTTCAGAGGACCCCTGGGACTTCTCAAAGAAAATTTCTCTCTTCCTATAAAGAGGAAGATACTAAACTTATTAGGCTTCTTTGGTATGTTAAATTACATGGGAAGCATTGTCAAATAAGTGATGATAAGGTGGTATTATGTGAGTGAATGTTATTGATATAGGTTTTTTGAAATTGTATAACATTACTGAAATTCTGAT